TTTGCTGTGTGCACCGACAATAAGCAGTCATGCATAAGGATCAAGTATTAACCGTTTCATATTCCATGTTTTAGGTTTGTTGTACCATTATATATCACCACAAGGAGCTCGCGTGATATTTCTCCATTATGTTATGTCCTGTGCAATCACTTCGATATCATGACTAGAATCAGTCCAACAGATGTGGCCTTTCTCATCAAAGTTTGTCTTAGGGTTTCTTTTAAGCGTCCTGGCCTCTTTAATCCCTTTATTTTCCATTTTAATGCCTGTCTTGTGATTCTCTACGTGTTTCTTCTCAGGGTGTATCCAATGCAGCGCCAGCTTCTCTGTCTTATAACTGTTGATACGAGATATGTGCCCAGATATTTCTCTGATTTCTTCACCCCTATTGAATTCACCCCATTTTATTTTCATCAGTTTCCTTAGACTTTTGTTTTCCACGTCTTTATTGGTTCTTCACCTTTTACTGGTATATGCTAAATTTGAAATAACTCTAGAATCGAAAATAGGTATCTTGGTTTTAAAACTATACAGTCAAGAGATCCGTACTTTGTTCAGGCTATTATTAAAATTTTTCGATAGCTTGCCTAAATAAGTAAATTGATCTGCTACTTTAACTACTTTTGCCTCTGGTGTCACATCTGCTTGATCTATTGTTGGCGTCTTCAGTATGTTTGCCTTTTCATAACTTATTTGTTGTCCAATCCTTGACGCTATATTAGCTATATTTGACCCTTGTTACGGCATATGCACCCACTCTAATGTCAGCAGAAGACGCAAAGGACTCTTTTTATGAGGAACTGGATAATGTATGAAATCAATTTCCAAATCTGACAGCATCTGTATACTTGGTGATTTTAATGCTCGCGTAGGGTCAGACTCAAACTCATGGCCAGTTTGTCTTGGAAAATATAATGTTGGCCACATGAATGAAAATGGACAGAGACTACTGAAATTCTGCACTAGAAGTGACTTGTGCATCACAAACTCCTTTTTAGTCTTTAGTTTTTCCTCAGAAATGAGTATCAGTGTGATTATTTGGCCTTATAATAAAATAAATGGGCAGAGAAATAGTTTTAAAAAATATTTTGTGATAATGAAGAAAGCTGCTGATTTCATATTACTGTGGCAGTGTCCTGTAACATAAAGATCTAATTATAACATCCCACTATATGGACATTCACAATGATTACATTAACCTCAACGTGTGAGGTAATTAACTCTGTATGTGTATCGTACCTCGTCATAAGTTAAATGATTAGCCCAAAGAAATCACACTTTTTTTTCAACAGTGTACAAGGCTTGGAAAAAATAATTTTAAATGTCAAAAAGCACAGTGAAGAAAATAATCTTATTTCTAAACCTGAAAAACACAATAAAACCTCTAAAATAATGTCCACAATAAATACAGCACACCAACCACGTATTGAAATCGACCACGAAAAGATTGAAAATGTAACAGATGTGAATCTTTAGGGACAATAATGAACAGTAATGGCGACTGCACAAAAGAAGTCCGAAGAAGACTTGCTTTAACGATGCAAAGGCTAAACAGCACGAAGAACCTATGACACAGCACCTACAAGTAAGTTGAACCGAACATTTTGAGATCATACCTCTCTACCGTGGCAACTTATGGATGTGAGTCGTGGACTCTCACCCAGTCTTTAGAGAATACAATCTGAGCCTTTAAACTGAAATGCTACAGACAGGTTTTTAGAATACCGTGAACCACGAAAAAGAAAAACGTCGTCAGCCTACATTACCTGAAAATCGAGGAGAACTGGCTTGTAAACAGCATCCTCTCCCGAAATGTGTGGTATTTTGGACATGTCATGTTCCATAGTGGTCTGGAGAGAACGGTCGGGGGGGGGGGGGGGGGGGGGGGGGGGGGGGTTGAAGATTTGGTTAGAGAAAGTGAGTCCTTTAGGCGTGCCGTGAAGAGAGCGACGTTCTGTAAAGGACATGCTGATTTCTTTTTCGCGTTCACCGGCTGTAAACTCTGGTGGAAAGTTCCAGTTGTTCACCCACCTCTGGAGATAGACTTATTCCAGAACTTGTTGCGTGCACATCAGTCTTTCAGATCTGATTTATTCGTATGCAGAATGTTGGTTCCTAATCTCTCAGGTTGATGCAGTCCGACTTCAAAGGAAACCCTCAGTTAGTCGACTGTTACGACATGCTTTTTGGGGAGGCAGTAGGTCTGTTTTTGTCTTCCCCACAATGGGACCCCAGAGCCCACACGGGGAACATGCCGACTGATGAAAATGGTAACCATAGCACAAGGAAAAAGAAAAGGAAAAACAGACATACAATCATACTTTTACTCATACTTTTACTGGTACCATTTGTTGCTGAAGATGGGAACTGAGTACTGATGAAAATGTCCCCAGTGCTGTTATGTTTGTTCTTATCTCAGCTAAACTCATCATCATGTGCCCTGGAACAGCTCTCTTGATAATATACCTCCATGCCATCGTTTCAGCCCATCCAGCATCAC